TAAGAGATGTCAATTCCAAACATACAAATATAGCATAATAGGATAAATACCAATTAAGGAAGGAAACATGAAATTATTATAAATCACTATAACTCTAACTATGGATTTAGTTAGTCATAATATAATGGAAAATCATAACAATAGTAAACCAATTCATAATTATTTAAAAAGTAAATGCAAACTAGAGGAGTCTCCAATAGAGAAGAGATGAAGAGAGTTCTTGATTCCAAAATTCGCTTCCAAAGCACCAATAGTCATTAGCGACTGACCAATACCAAGGTTGAAGATTTATAAAAGGTGAGGGATATGTGAAAGATGCCTAAGTCGCTGCCCCTTGGGTTCCTTTTATAGAGTTTCAAAATCCTAATATGTTTTCATTGTTAGACTTCTCATAGTTGAGCACAGTTGTTCAAGGTCATAAGCACAGTCATACATGTGGATCAAAGCACCCTCATGCTGGCAATTGGAGTATGAGTGTGCTAGTTGCGACGAAGCCCTGTTTTCCATCTAATTTAGCCTAAAATGCTTCCAAAAATTCAATTATGTCCTTCAATCCATGTTTTCTGATATGTTGTCATGTATCCATATTGAGCCTGAGCTTCACTAATCACGAGTTTAACTTAAAAGAAAGTTCAAATTCTATCATTGACTTAATACATTTTGCAATTGTCTCTGTATCTAATTCTATGATCTTGCAAAATTCTTACACGAGTACTGATGTAACATATTTTATATTTACATTTATGGTTTTATTTTAATTTCTAAAAATTTTTCATATGCTTTATTTATATAAATTTTATCATTTTCTAGTTATTTGAATAAATTAGACTTGTTACAAATAAATGCTTTAATTTTATATTTTCAGTTATTCTGACCTTTGACTGCTCTTTTGACCATAACTTTTTCTACAAATATCATTTTTGGCTGATTCTAGTGCATTGGATTCTACACATCCAGGACTTTAAAATGCATATATGGATCGCTGGATTTAGAGTTGTTTTTAATTTTCTATGAATTTTTTAAGTTGAGGTAGATTTGTTGAATCTTGTATATGGGATTGCATTTGGACCTTTGTCATTAAATAATTGTATTTGGAATTTTAGATATAATTAAGGCCTAAATTTTGGCCATTTAGTTTACCCTAAATAAAGCCTATAAATAGACCATTGAGACTCTGAATTACTGGTGTGCAAAATTTAATATTTTGAGTTTTTGATATTTGAGTCTTAATAAAAATCCTTATTTTACCTTCTCTCGATTTCTCTCTTCTTCCTCTCATTCTCGCTTAGGTTAAGTGTTTCAATGAAAGGTTAAACCTCTCATTCAATATGCAGAGTTCAAATGGTGTAAATCTAATTTGAGTTTTGGACTAATTGCTTTGAATTTGTTCTCTTTTTCTCTAATCTCATATTTGTGAATTGATTATGATTAACTTTTCTGTGGTTAGAATTCAAATTAGGATTTGATTGATATTCTAATTTGATAATTAAATTCAGATTAGACTAAATGATAATTTGATTTAATTCGTGATCTGGTTCAATTCAGTTATTCGATTGAATTAATAATTGGATTAGATAATTGTTCAAATTTGGATTAAAATATTTAGATACTGTAATAATCAAAATTACATGCATTTGAGATTCTATGGATTGATAATTTTTAATCTATCTTTTTCTTCAAGTTAATTATGTTCACAATTTTAATTTAATATATTGATTACCTCCTCTCATTTTAAATTTTGCTCTATCAATTTTTGTTAAATCTCTTTGTTTAAATTTTTATTTTGATAAATTGATTTGATGATCCTGGGGAGACAACTTTGAGTTCTTGCCTCGTGCTATAGTAATTAGGTTTCTATTATTTTGACTCGTGTACAATTGTGGATTAAGTATAACTATGTGTCTTGTTATAATTTTTTTATTTTTCAAAAATACTTGTTCTTCCTCAAACTAGTCCAAACAAGTTATCCACAATCTATGTCATAACTAACACATTTATCATAAAATAAATTTGGTTCATATTTGAAGACTTTGTAGTATACTCCTTTTGATATATTATAATGCTTAATTATTTGTATAACAATGTCTCATATTAAATTTCATTTCAACATACATTTCTCCATCTACCTCACAATAACCTATCAAACAAAAAAAGAAACTAAAATTCATCATCATCATTATCTTCACTGCTTCCATAATCTCCTTCAAAGTCGTAGCTATCACTTTGATAGACAATGTCAAGTTGCTGTCAAAATAACTAAGTTTCTTTAAGAATTTTGTAGTATAGAGTTCAACTCAGGTCGATTCACAAAGACACATTTTCAGTTAAATTTAGTTTTAGGTTCTTTAAAAAAAATGCGAGTAAATTTTGAGGGTTTGAAAACTGCAAAATTAATTTAATTAAATTATAAACAAATTAAAATTGAGTGAAAATAAATAAAAAAATATCAATTTACAGAATATCAAATGCATGTAACTCCAATTATCACAGTATCTAAAGATTTTAATCCAAATTTGAATGATTACCAATTCAATTATTAATTCAATCGAATAACTTAAATGAACTATATCATGGATTAAATCAAATTATCATTTAACCTAACTTGAATTAATTATCAAATTAGAATATTTTAATTGAATCCTAATATGAATTCTAACCACAAAAAAGTTAATCACGATCCACACAAATCTGATATTAGAGAAAAAGAAAATAAACTCGAAGCAATTCAACCTAAAACTCAAATAAGATTTACAGCATCTGAATTTCGTAGATTAAGCGGGAGGTTTATCCTTCCATCAAAGCACTTAACCCAAGCGAGAATAGGAGCAGAATGAGAGAATTTAAGATAAAGTAAAAAGAAGGATTCTTATTTCGGTCAAATCTCAAAAACTCTAAGTGTCTAATCGCACACGCGTACCTTCTTAATATAAAACGTTATTAGTCTATTTATAGGTTCTAATTAGGGTAAAATAAATTGCCAAAATTTGGGCCTCAATTATATCTAACAGCCCAAATACAATTATTAAATAACAAGGGTCTAAATGCAATCCCACAACAAGATTCAGCAAATCTATCTCAAATTCAAAAAATCTTAAAAAATCGAAAACAACTCTAAATCCAACAATCATTGTATGCATTTTGAAGCCCTTGATGTGTAGAATCCAATGCAACTAGAATAAGGCAAAAACGATATATATAGAAAAAAGTTGTGGCCAAAAGAGTAGTCAGATGTCAGAATAACTGAAATATGTTACATCACACTTTCAATATTGTTGTATTCTCATTCTATCTCTTTGTTAGAAACGATGCTTACATAGGATTTTTCCTCCTCAATGTCACATTCTTCATATACACCAATTGTAATTTGTTTAAAAATAATATAAAACTCAATAACAGAAGTTAGGGCATGATACTTGTGATGGATTTGAAATATTTGTTAAATATCATTATCGTTGTTTATTGCAATTCCTTCGTATTGCATGAAATCTTTAAAAATAGATATTGGACACTTGTAGGTTATACTCTCCACTATTTTGGAGTCTCCATTTCAATATATTGACAAATTCAATATTTAGTTCTTCAAATAATATATTATAAGAAATATACATATAAATTAGCTTCTCTCACATAAATTTCACACCTTTATTTGTGTTTGCAACAATCTTAATATTAAAGTAAACTATTATATTTTTCTCTCATTTTTTATCTTCAACTATAAACTTATAGAAATAAAGAATGAAATGATAAAATTGAAGTGTAATTCAAAATAATAATAATGACTTTATAAATTATAATTTTAAAAAAATGCTTGTAAAAGTTGCTTGCAAAATTTTTTTTAAAAAAAATCTTGCCACTAACTATTTTTGGAGTTTGAGTTGTATTTTTTATTTTTATTTTTATTTTTTAATAGCAATGTTTAGATGTATAAAATATAGTTGTAGTTATAAAAATTATCATCGACAACTTTTGTTTTAAATTAATTTTTCATTCTTTAAAATTATCAACGAGCGTCTTTTCATAAAAATTATATTTAAATAATATTTCTTTAAATACCATATTTTGGTAATTTAAAAAAAAACTCATTAAAAATATACTCTAATTTTTTTTACTTAAATAGAATTATTTTCTTGTAAAAAGATATTGGTATTAATTTAAAAAATAATAATTTTTGGGTCCACTGGCTTCAAGTGGTTTCAACATTTTACCTGCTTTGCTGTCATGTCATGGGGCGAGGTATGAGCAATTTTGTCATATTCCTGTGATATTAATAATTTAATTTTGTATTTTTATCTAAAAATTAAAAATAAACACCTGAATTTATTTATAAAAATAAATTCTAAAATCCTGATTTTTTTTTATTAATAATAATGCATGAGAAACAGTAGTTGAGATACGAACGGGTTTCAAGTAAAAATTAATTGATTATATTGCATGAGTATAGGATGAATAATTGAATATATTATTATATTTGAACTGTGTTGTGATTGTTTTTATTTAAAAATACCGTCTATGTTAAAATAAATAAATAAACAAATGGGTCATAATTACCTGACTCTGAAAGTTTTTGGATTCAAGAAAGCTGGTTATATACATGAATTCTTTTCTTCTAATTACATGAATGTTATATTAATCATGGAATGAATTTTCTGTTATGCGTATAAATGAATTTCTGGAAGTTTTTTAGAAACTTAAATAAAAAGTTGAGATTCTCAGATGTTATTTCAAGTTATCAACGATAAAATTAAGAGAAATAAAATATGGCACCAAGCAAAAGTCAGCACCTTGGAGTTCTCATAAATTCAAAGCAGCCATAACTACAAACACAGCTCCTGCCAGCGGCGGCTTGCAAATTGCAACCCATTTCCATCGTTATTGATGGAAAACATTACGTAGACTTTGTATTAAATGAATCTTATTTTATATTATCCCCCAAAATAAAAAGACTGATTCTTATTTTATAATATCATCATTTTCGCAATTTTTTTGTTATAAAAGGGAGGTCGATATCACGCTTTAGAACCCACCTCCTATTCTCTTCGTAGTTCAAAGTTTGGATATTCACTTTAATTAGGAACTGCATCCTATCTACAATGACGATCACCTCACATGTTATTACATGCAAAGGTATCACACTATCACCCCTCAAGCATGTTTATCACTCTGATTTTTATGTGACTTTCCAACTTTGTTATGCAACTTTTCCTTAGTTGGTAAAATATATTTATGTATTACTTTTACTTTGAATGTTTGTAGCTGCGATATGCTGGGGTGTAGGGAAGCCTCTGACAGTGGAAGAGATACAAATAGACCCACCAAAAGCCACTGAAGTTCGAGTTAAGATGCTTTGTGCCAGTGTATGCCACACAGACATCTCAAGCACTCAAGGGTTCCCACATGTTAGAGTTCTTTAAATCCTATGCTTTTAATCTGAGATTGTTTTCTAAAAGTAGAATTTTATTTCTTCATCTTTTTTCACTGATGGATTACTACAAACAAACTAATTTGCAGGCCAATTTTCCTATAGCACTTGGACACGAAGGAGTTGGGTAAGCTCAAAATAGTAGCTTTCTCTTTACATGTTCCTCCTGTAATAATAATTAAGATTTGATACTGAAAACACTTTTTGTTGTGACTTAGTTGTATCTTCATTTAATTTCATGTGTTGGGTTAATTGTAGTGTTGTAGAGAGTGTCGGTGATCAAGTGAAAAATCTGAAACAAGGGGATGTAGTAATTCCAACATACATAGGTGAATGCCAAGAATGTGAAAACTGTGTTTCAGGCGAATCCAATTTGTGTTTCACATACCCTATAAGATTGACTGGTCTAATGCCAGATAACACTTCAAGGATGTCCATTAGAGGCCAGAGGCTACACCATGTTTTAAGTTGCGCAACATGGTCAGAGTACATGGTTATTGATTCCAACTACATTCTCAAGGTTGATTCAAGGATTGATCCAGCCCATGCCAGTTTCATCTCATGTGGGTTTTCAACTGGTTTTGGAGCTGCTTGGAGGGAAGCCAAGGTTAAAAGTGGATCAAGTGTAGCTGTTTTCGGTCTTGGGGCTGTAGGATTAGGGGTATCCATGAAATAATCTTACATGTTTGTGTCATTTATTTCTTTTGACTTTGAAGCTTGAATTTTGTTACTGAAAATGATCTTGTGTTGTAGGCTGTAAGCGGAGCCAAGATGCAAGGAGCAACTAAGATAATTGGAATTGACAAAAATGAAATGAAGAGAGAAAAAGGAGAAGCTTTTGGAATAACTGACTATATAAATCCTGCTGATTCAGATAAGTCTGTTTCAGAATTGGTGAAGGAACTGAGCGGTGGAATGGGTGTGGACTATTCCTTTGAGTGCACTGGAGTTGCCCCTTTACTTACTGAGTCCTTGGAAGCCACAAAAATGGTACAAGCTTCACCTCATCAAGCAGTTTTGTTTTTTGGTTTGGTCAAATAATTTATGTTCTACACATATTATTGGTCTCTCTCATCTTTCTAATGATAGTGTTCCTAATTATTGCTTCTATACATGTAGGGAAAGGGTAAAACAATAGCAATTGGTACAGGAACTGAGCCAATTGTGCCGCTTGGTCTTGCTAGCATCATGTATGGTAGAACTCTGAAAGGTTCCGTTTTTGGAGGGCTAAAAGCCATTTCGGACCTGTCAATCACAGCTAATAAATGCCAGAAAGAGGTAATCCTCTAGATATTTAACTATTGTAGATATTTGACGTATATTTTGTGTCAAGTGTAAAATAATGGTCATGAACTATTTCCTATTTTACAGGAATTCCCTCTTCAAGAACTACTCACACATGAGGTCGCATTGGCAGATATAAACAAAGCATTTGAGCTATTGAAACAACGCAATTGTGTGAAAGTTGTCATCAAGATATCGTATTAGCAATTGTATTCATTGTTGCCTGACTCTCTCTCACTTGTTCTCTGTGGCTTATTCTTCTTCTTCTTCTTGAACAAATAAAAAAAACATTTGAATCGCGAAGCTACGTTGTTATTGTCCTTCTTCAACAAAAAAAAAAAAATTCTTTCTTACTTCGGGGACTATTCATTGTTGCATGACTCGCTCACACTTGCTCTCTACGGCCTACTCCTAGGTATTTGCATATCGGTTCTCATTCGAGCCTTTGTGTTAAAGATAGCTTGAAATATTGGTTGGGCATTAGTCGTCGCAGCATCACAGGTACTTTTAGTGTCCTCTTCTTTGAGTTTTCCACAATTTTAATGAGTACTCTGAAATTATTTTAGATTCCTCTGTAGTAGCCTTATAGACAACGGCAGTTAGTGAATATAGTTAATTTCATATATTAAGTTAGTACATTTTTTACCTAGGTTCTAGTAATTTAGTGTATAAGCTAATGTTAAATCATTTTACATATGTTTTCTGTTAATCTTGAGTATGATAATAATAATAATAATAATAATAATAATAATACTATTATTTTAACTGTATAAAGATGGTTATTCACCATAAAAATTTGGTAATTCAATTTTCAATTTGATGGTAATTGAATGTAAAAAGTGGTAATGTTGTAGCATGTACACAAATTTTTTCTACTTCTGTAATATATGTTAGTGAACTAACTTAATTAATGGCTAACATAAGGTTACTAAATTTTTGTCACCAATATTAGGCCATAAGTAGGAAATTGCTACTAATATTATAGAAGATATGTTGTGTCTAAACTGTATAAAGATGGTAATTGACATATAAACCTGGTAATTCAATATGTAATGTGATGGTAATTTTAATATGAAACTGGTAATATTACAGGGTTAACACAATTTCTTTTCCTCTTGTGTAATGTGTTACTGAACTTACATAAGGTTATTTCTTGAGTTGTCACCAATATTAGCTGATAAGTCCAAAATTGCTAGTAATATGATAACAGTTATACTCTGTCAACTGTATGAATATGGTAATTCAGCAAATAAAGCTGGTAAACCAATGTTCAATGTGATGGTAATAGTAATATATATACTGGTAATTTTGTAGGATGTACACGATTAAAAAAATGACACGAGGAAAAAGACAAGTTGTTGAATAAGCAACAACCTCAGGATCAGGACTTTGATCCTGATGAAAATGTTAATTTAGATGAAAATAATCTAGTGATGAAAGTAGACAATTTATGCATAGTAATAGGACTCGTCAACTGTTAAAGAAGCAGACAAAGAAGAAATTTGGTGGCAAGGTATGTATTCATCAAACTTGTGGACCATTTATCATTCATATTGATGTTGTATGTTTGATAGTTTAATTGGAATGCATGTATACAGGTTGTATTCCTTAGTCGATGCTCACCAAATCGTTTACAAATGATTTGTAACATCTTGACAAAAGAACAATGAGACATAGTCATTGATATGGGGTTTGGAGGACTATTCCATATAAAATGTACAAGACTTGATAAAAAGGTCTGCTTAAAATTGGTAAAGCCTTGTCATTTAAATCAATTGTGCATATACACAAAGAGAGAGGAGATTTCAATAAGCTATCACAATGTAGCCAAAGTTTTTGGGCTGCTAGAACATGGTTTGTACAAATTGCATAAGTTAATTAACCTAACGATTATTGCTCCCAAACTGATAAATCTAATTTTTTGAACTTGAATATAGGATTGGACATTCTAAAATTTGCCACGGCCGATCAAAAAGCAATGTTGACTGAATTTGAAGGAATAATAGATGTCCAACTATTTCAGATTATTGGTGAAGGTAAATTGGACGACTAGTTTAGAAGAGCTTTTATCTTGTATGTTTTGTCATGTTTCTTGTGCCCAACTTTAAAGATGGCACCCTGTCCAACACTTTTAGGATCCATCATTGATATAGAAAACGTAAAAAAGTACAATTGGAGCTTATTTGTTTTTAAGTGGCTTGTAAGGCAAATAAAATCATATAAGGTAAGACAATACAAGAGTAAGACAGCAGAGATTGGAGGTTGCATATTTTTCCTTAAGGTATCGTAACTTATTTGGTATAGTTTAGCAAATGTTAATTGTACAATTATTATAATCTATTAATTGAGTATATAAGTATCCCCGACCCCTGTGGTCTAAAATAAAATTTCAATATTACTGCAGGTTTTGTATTTTCATAAACGTCCACTAAGCATCGCCAACTTCAACAAAGAATATCCTTGGGTTAAATTTTGGGATGATGACATGATAGAAAAGCGGATTCAAGAAGAGAAGAATGACGTTCTAGTAAATTCCATTGATTTATTTCGAAATTCCTATTTGTGGTTATGTTACTGTTATTATAATGAAAATGGAGTCGTGGTTCATATAAAGAATTTATTTTTAATTAATGATAATTCTATTCTTCAATAGGGCCTATTGTATCACAAAAAAGATAAAGGTAATCTTATTAACCCAATGTGGTTGAAAGAGAATTTCGAAACTGATGTATATTAAATGTTTTTTTGAGTAATAGAATTCTATACTTCTTTTGCTACTGTTTAGTTTATGTTGTCATGTTATGCAATTTTTGTTGTTGATGAGAATAAAGTTTTATTTATTGTGAAAATGTGGTTGTTTCGAACTTAGTTGCAGAGACTATCAAGATGTATAAGGCACAAGAAGAAGCTACACTAGCTACTAATCGTCTTATAATTTCTGATTCCACAGCGATGAAATCTTGGTAAGATAATAAAATGAGAAATAATGATATGCATAAATCAAGCCATAAAATGGAAAGCAAAAGTTTGAAAGAGTCTGATTTCATAAAACATCAGCATGAAGATATACCTGAAGGTGATGGGGGATGTTCGGAGGGCAAGTGTACCCATCGAGAAGTAATAAAAGGTTCTTAAATTAAGTTTCCAAAATATCGTCCTACAAGGATTGTTTTCCAATTATTAAGAATTTATTAATTCAATTGTTTAAGCTTCAAAAGATATGAGATTAATTAAAATAAGAATTTATAAAATTAATTCTAAAATTAAGAGCAAGGAATACGATGCTCGTCTTGGTTAAACTTATCTGAGAGGAACCTAGGACATATGAATTTTCTCATTCAATCCTTTATGTTATTCTTCTATTTAACTCTAAATTCGATTTCTTTGTGATTACCAATCATTCATACGAATACTATTAATACCCAATGGTCATGCAATATTAATATTCTTTTCTCTAAATTAACATCCTCAATGGTCATGCAAGACATCAATTTAAGAAAGCTTAAGGAACCTATGAACTTGTTAATTTAATAATGATTAGAAGAGAAAGATTGGTTTGGTCCACCTAATCCTTAGTCTCGTTTTACCCTATAGATATATTAATTAACCGAAGTACGGTCGCCTGACGATATAATTAATTAGGATTAAGAAAGAAGCGCAATAGGATAAAATCTAATCACAAAACAGAAATCAAATTTAGATTCAAACATCAAAATTTCATAAATTCATGAACAATAGTTCTCATAGCCCTAGCTATGGACTTAGTTACTCATGCTAAAGAAAAGAACTAAAACAATCATAAACAAAGCCATAATCAAATAAAATAGCAAACTAGAGTATGAGATGTGTTTCTGGTCTTCAAGTATGATCGCTTGAAACTTCAAGTCTCGCCAAGCATGTGCCAAGGATCCCGTGCAAGAAAGACGAGAAGAGAAGTGTATCTGAAAGCCAAAGACTAGATGTAAAAACGGTCCCTTACGATGCCTAAGATCTCCTTTTAATAGGGTTTGAAAACCCTAAAGACTCTTGATAATTGGGCTTCTCAAAGATAAGCACGGTTGTGCAAGGCCTTAAGCACGACTGTGCATGGGCTCGAAGCACCCCTATGCTTGTTGAAAGGGTCTGGGCGTACTGACTGCTGCAAAGCTCTAATCTTCTATCAATTTGGACCCAAAACACACCCAAAGTATACTTGCGATATCTTTATACCAAACTGCATAATTAATATATAAATTAGTGTGAGCACCAAATAAAATAAAGGTCAAATATGAATATATGGGCTGTAAAATAAGGTCTAATTATAGACTTATCAGGGGACTTACTTGTAGTCGTATTGTCCAATCACATGAAGATCATTGTAAAAAAGAAGGCATGCAATGCCTTATATCAGTATTGTATTAACAAGTCAATCCCACCAGAATCGAAAAAAGAGTATGAATTTATAAGTCTATGTTTTATAAATAATACTAATACATTTTATTTATGTACGACCAATCAGAAGTGGGCTATTTTAGCTTGACCAATAACTATTTGTCCTTTGTGTGTTAGAGTGCTAGTTTCAATGTGTGAATACTATTTGAATCGGGTAGACATCATGACAATGGGACGTGGACAACAACTCTGTAACAATGTATAGTACAATGTATCATATTACTAGTAGTTCTGTTATGTTATTCTTGACTTCCCCTTCTGCTAACGTAGTGTGTTGGTTATGCTTAGGTTGTTAGCTTGGCTAGTGCAGTCTTGAATGATACAAACATTTCCCCAAGTTCAAAGTCGTGTTATTGTTTGTTTTCATACTTCATGGTGATTGAAACTTGGTATTACATCAATATCTTTGTGTCTTTAGCATAATTTTTTTTATTTATCAACTAGAGGAATGTGTAAAACTTGATGTTAATAATTTCATGAAGGATAAGCATTTGCCATGGTGCGAATTACCCTTTTTTTTCCTATTAATCAGCCTCAGTTTCTGAACTGCAATTTGGTATTTTAATTGAAGCCATGTATCGCGTATTTGTTGTGTTATAATGTCGCAACAGATTAATGCAAATCTTCTTGTGTTATAAATATTTGCACCAATCTTGTATTCAAAACATTGGTAGTGCTATGTGGTGGACCGACAAAAGATGAAGTTATCCATCTTAGATTCGATGTACTCACATCACATAGGGAAGATGGCAATGTTGGATCAGTTGGCAGCGTGGAAAATTTGA